CTCTCTCTCTCTCTTTCTCTCTCTCTTAGACAAATAAATATCATTAGCAAACAAATAAATATCATTGGACAAATGAATATCATTATCAATATCTGTTTTTACCCCTTTTGCTTTTATTTTTGGCAGTCTCATTTAATGTTAATAAAAAGCAAATGTGCATAGTTTTAAAATAAAAATGTGTGTAATATTTGTTCATGTCTTGTGGCTCTTAAACATCTGACATTTATTCTATGTGGCTCTTACACTGAGCAAGTTTGGCCACCCCTGCCTTATACCAATCCGACTGCATCTCCTGATATACTCTCATCATGTGCCAATTAACCTCTTCATTCTCCTTACAGTAACCTCTCTTAGGAAAATTTGTTAGGCAACACAACAACTAGAGCTAAGGTATTCTGTGTTGTTTCCTGGTAAATTGGAATGGCTTACTGGAATGGGTGTTGAGGGCACTTTCTCTCCCAGCATTTTGGAAAGCATGCAAGAGCTTTTTATTTCAAACAGCTTTTTTGTGGAGGGCAAAGCAACTGTTGGAAAAGTACTGTGGGGAAGGCTGGGTAATGATGTGGTCTGTGTGTGTTGTTTTAACTCTGCCGCGTTGTTTAAATTGTTATCACAACTTCTTACCTGCATGAACTACTTTGAGTCTGAGAAGAAAGGCAGGGAATGCTTTAAATAAGTCTCAGCTGTATCCTTTAATGAGAATGAAATATTTGATAGTCTGACTGAATGAGCATCCTTCAGTTTTTTCTCTCTCAAGACACCATCTTGATTCTCCTGCTCTGTCACTGTCCTTCTATAATTTTTCATCTGGGTAAATCTCACATATGGAACTCCTCACCTGGGTAGACTTGGTATCCACTACCGCAAACCAGAAATGTTCCCCTGCCAGTCAATAGGTTGAGCTACTGATGTTCCTTTCCCTCATGCTGTGTTGGGAGGACTGTTCTTCTGCCCTACCAGGATGCTGTCCTTTGGGAGGACTCACTCAGTGGCAGCATACTTCAATATCATATGCAGAATAGAGATATTCCTCCATAGTTCTGAATGACTGATTTGCACAGATACCTTCAAGTATGGTGATGAGACGTTAGAAGTGAAAGAGAAATCACAAGTTGTTCATGGTCTTCCAGGGCTCGTCCTCCCATTATGCATTTACCCCAGACCCTTCACCAAGTACTTGCCTCAATACTTTGGTCAAACTAAATGAACCCTCAGGTACCACCCAGCCCCATTATACCCAATTACTGGGTCACTGTGGAGAATGTCAAATCCATTAAGTTCACATGCATTACTTCTACAGCCCATCATTTGTCTTTCTGCTTCATACCACTCACAAACTTCAGAGACACTTATGGCATATAGGTATAAACTCTTTATCCCTGGAAAGAGAAAGACGATGATTTCCTCTTTTTAAAAAATCAGTTCCCTACATTTCAAAAAGTACTCTGAGATGAATGAGAGAGGCAGCTAAGTAGCTCCTACAGAGAAGCAGGTGTCCAGCTTTTATTAAGGGGGTAGTCTGCAGATCATGATACAGATTTGCAGGGAGACTGATTTAGGCAGTGTTATTAGAGCTTATTTTATGGGGTCCTGCAGTGAAAAAAAGAAGATTGCCAACAGACATCAGTGGCACTGAAGGGAAGATAGAAAGTGCCAGTTCTCCAGGAAGACATTTCTTTTCACCAAGCAGGATAATTGCAAGGGGGAAATCACATCTATTTTCTTTAAATCCTAATTCTATGATTGAATTCATTCTGTGTGAAAAATAATTGTGCAAATTAAGTATTTTCACTATTTTTATTTTATTATTGATTTTGCTGCCAAAATGTTTTAGGAGAAGCAAGGGCGAATGGAAGGAAGTAAACAAGACTGCAAACTAACATAGTATAGTGGCAGGAAGAGGAGAGAGAAACTGTGGCTCCGCAGTAATGCATTTGCTTCACATGCAGAAGGTCTGAAGTTCAATCCCTGCATGTCCAGTAAAAAGGATCAGGTAGCAGGTAATGCGAAAGAGCTCTGCTTGAGATTCTAGAGTGCTGCTTCCAGTCAGAGTAGACAATACTGATCTTGATAAACCAGCAGCCTGACCAAGTAGAAGGCAGCTTCACATGTTCATGTGAATACAGCAGAACAATGTGTAAGGCATGACATTTCACTCCTCAGTTCCTTCTTCTTGTTTGAGATATTTTTTTAAAAAACTGACAATTTCAGGATGCCAACATCTGCAACAGTTATTAGATTCCATGTTTGGGTGATTCTGCTAAGTGTCAGTTATGCGAAGTTCATATAGTCTTGGATATGGGAATGCATATGGCTGCAATGAAGCAAAGGAATAAAAAGAATGAATTTCCATTGGTTTTTGCCATGCAAAACATTGCTAGAGAGCTTGATGAATGTTCTTGTAATTGCAAGGTTCCAGTCCTCTTTAATGAACCCCTGGAATCGCAAGGTCAGGAAATCTGAGGCAAAAAAAGGAGCTAGAATGACAATAAAACAACCTGTCCCCTTCCCCACACCAGCTGAATTTGCATGCTTTTGTTAATTTATTTAGATATTGATACCCTGCTTTTCTCCTTAAATGGGGAACCAGGGCATCTTATAATATCATTCTACCCTCCTCCATTTTATCCTCACAACAACCACTCTATGAGGTAGGTTAAGCTAAGAAAGAGATACTGGCCTAGGGTCATCCAGTGAGTATCCATGGTAGAGTAGGGATTTGAACCTCAGTCTCCCAAATCCTAGTCTAGACCTTTAACCATTCCACCATAGAAGGGAATGAATTTTCAAGATGCAAAATGTATAGTTTTATTTGCTCCACTGATGTAGATTAGAAGCTGTTCAACCAATATTGTTTACTAACATTATTTGTGATTTTGACTCACCATAAGGAACACATTCTCTTTCTCTCTCTCTCTCTCTCTCTGTGTGTGTGTGTATGTGTGTGTGTGTGTGTATTGTGTGTGTGTGTGTATTGTATTTGGTTGTGCTTGTTTCTTTAGGAAAGAGGAGTGATGATAAATAGCTACATATACATGAGTTTTCTCATTCTCCACCAGAGTAATCCAAATTATGAAACTCTTGAAAGGACAGTGATGCCCATTAGTGAGACATCATTCCAGGGACAGAATAGTGCCGGGTATACTGAGGATCCTTCTCAGATCTATTCAGTGGGGCTTACTTCAAGATAAGTATTTTAGAATTGTACTATAAGTTCCTATTGCTAGTCTGGAGAGAGGAAGGGAATACATTTACAGATTCTTTCATACCCTTTGACAATCTAGCAAGTTACCTGTGGCCCCACCCCTGCCCCAGCCTCACACAGGACCATCAAATTCCAGTGGGGTAGCTAGTTTATTGCAGCAAAAAAAAAAAAGCCCTATAGCACCCTAAGGACTAATAAACATATTGTAGCATAAACGTTCATGGACCTGACTGCATCTAACAATGTGGCTCAAGTTCACAAAAGCTTATGTTACATTTAGTGGTCTGGTATTTAAGGTACTGTAGCACCCTTACATGAAACAGTCAATGCATATGATACAGGAATTATATTTCTATGCTACTCCTCTAGGAAAGCCTTACTCGGTTTGAAAAGTGATGACAGGTTTACAAAAAAATCTACAGGTTTTAACAGACAGAGGGACCATCAAAGGTGGTGAAAGCTTTGAAAGTGAGTGAACTCTGTGGCATATTCTTCCCTGAAAACGGCTCAGATTACAATGGGATGTGCCTCTTCCAGCAACTTGTGCTCTCTTTTGTAAAGAATGCTCTGTAAACATGGTTTCTGAGCTCAATGGGGGGGGGGTTCTGTATGATAAGTGATCAAGGAAAGGGGTTGTTCAGATTCTCAGAAAAGCCACCTAATATCATAGATCTAGGTGTCTCTAGGCTAATGAAGTTCAGTGGTAATGGGCTCCATTCTGCTTTCCCTCTTTGGCATTGCAATCCTATGCAGAGTTGTTCCAGTCTAAGCCCACTGATTTCACTGGTCTTAGATAGGTGTAACTCTGCAGAAGACTGCATTGTTAGTCTCACAAAATGTATATGTTAAATTATTATCTACCAGTCTCAGTAGGCTTGATTAAATTTGTGTACAAGTACAATCCATGGTCATATGGCAGTCAGCAAAAAGGCAGAGGAAAACTACTGCATTGTGACAATTAGCACAGTCTAATTAAAATATTGGCTTCTGCTCAGGCTGTGCTGATGAACTGGGCTTGTATACTGTGAAATGAATCTGTTAATTACATAACAAATCATCAAGTGGTGTGATAGACCCTGGCGTCTTTGAACACCATCAGCAAAATAAGGTTTATAAAGTTGTTCAGATATATGAAGCCCTAAAGAGGCAATTGGTGCATGATAGTTCATCCAGGATTTGTCACGACAAATCTTAATTTAAAAATCTTGGACCTAAAAACCACCTGCATCTCTCCCTTGCCTGCCTAGAGGAAATGTGGGATTTCTGGCTATAGCTAAGGGTGGAAGTAAATGTGGCCCATTGACATCTTTGGTTTGTGTCTAATTCTGTGGTTCTGTCCAAACATGACACTGGTGGAGGAGGGGGAGGGGAGAGTTGACACTATTTCCAGACCCTAGTACAGACCTTAACACTGACCTATGTGTCCTTGATAGATGCAGTCCATGGCAAAGCAAAGTGGGTACTGTATCCCAGGGATCCTGGGGACTGCAGCCCAAAGCACCAGAGGAAGCAAATGAAACTCCTTGAAGACCCTCCCCCTGCAGTCGTCTTCATCTGAGATATCAGGAGGGCAGGCACGAGTGCCTCAAGAGTGCCCAAAGAGCACTGGACCCTGTCAGAGTGTGATTCCTTTAAGGAGTTGCTATTCACCAAGAACATGAAAGGTGTGGTCCAGACATCAGAACCTGTACCAGTATTGAGGAGAGTTCAGTCAGGCTTTGTAGATCCTTGGAGTAAGTTGTCTACCTCAGAGTGTGCTGGTCCTGCAAATTCTGTCAGGCTAATTCTACTGCTACTACTTCTCTTCAGAGTGTCCTCGCTAATCCTTATTTTCTCCTCATACCTGCTCTCTTCAATTTTCCATTACCAAGTCATCTAGCTGAACGTCTCTACTGCCTGCCACCACTACTGCCTGCCTGAAAGTCTCTACTGCCTGTCCGATGCATCTCCAGTCTCTCTCCTTCATGGACTTTGGTCTGACCTTGTGGATCTCAAACACACAATGCAGGACACCTGAGCTGTTCATCAGACTCACAAGGCCACAGCTCAAGAGGACAAGGTGCTCTTACTCCCTCCTGTGCCTTTTCATGTGCTGAAAACAGCCACGGGAGGGGCAACAGCCATTTCAGCACTTTAATAGGTGCAGGGGGGAAGTATGCCTGGTCCTGCCATGCCGCAGGCCCAATCAGGATTAGGCCCTTGCAGCATTTTTAAATGGGCTGCATTCAGCTTCAAAATTACAGTGGATGCCTTAACATCTACTTGTGTCATCTGTCAAATTAGCACAAATATGGGACGGTGCTATATGAAAAGAGAGAAGAGTTCAAAGAAATCAGCAGGGAGTTAATCACAAAGCCAAGGCTCCTCTCCAGGAGGGTAGTAGGAAGCAATTATTACAAATCAATTCTACCACTTCAAAACAAAAACTACCCAGTCTGCTATTGGGCCTGGAGTGGAGATCAGCCAAGACAGGAAGGAGAGAAGGACAACACAGATATGCCAGGGGGGGGGGGGAATCAGGCCACAACATACATATTCCCGAGAACTTGGCGCTGTGTGGGTGAGAACAACAGGTGCCACTGAAAACCCAGTAGCTGGTAGTGAACTCCCCTCCACACACCAATTAGGGATAACCAGTTATAAGGCAAAAATCAGTGGAAGCTGCTATTCAGGTCCATTACCAGCCTCTTGGGGGTGTGGGTGGCATGCTGGCCCCAGAGGTGGCCAACTTATCCTTCATCGCCAGAGTCCTTTTGTTACCCAAATAGGCAGTCTCCTAATTAGTTGAGGGGATTAGCAAAGGAGACAGAGTGAGAGGCAGGTAACTGGGA